AAAATACTGAATACATGATGCAGTTAGTTTCTACATGTTGGAAAAGTTATCTAACGAAATATAATTGTGAATATCATTCGTTTATGCAACAACAAACTGCAGCTTTGAGTAATTTATTCCAACGAGTGTAAAAAAAAAATCACCCGTCAATAGAAAACTGTAATAATGGGTCGGTCGGATTGCATAAAATTCACGGATTCTCTAACTTTGTCGGACGGGAAATGATGTAACGAAAATAACGAAGCCTGCATATTTATTGTTGTATGAACCTATGTACACGCTATAAAACTCGTTGTAGCGAATTTGTCCGCTTTACACTAATTAGGAACACCCTTTAATTGCGTTGCGCGTGCACATTGCATAGCTCAACTTAAAATCGATAGTTCGTACACGTGTTTTGCCACAACCAGGAGAGATTTGCGTAAATTTAAATTTCTCGTTGCCACCGATCGCACACGGATACCAAAAAAGATGCGAATAAGAGAGGAATTTATTTATCGCACCTAGCAACTGCACAATTCGGTGTGATGCATTAATGTTTTTTTTTTTTAAAAGAGAACAAAAGGACCTATCATGTTTGACGGTTTTAAAATTGGTTTTCATGTACGTTTTTGGTAAACTTTTAACGAGGTTTTTGGTAATAGTATGATGTTGTAGTTAATGTTTGTTGCCTTTGATAACTTTTTGAAGATACTTTTGGTGTTTCTATTTGGTAATTTTTCCATTTAAATTCGACGAGTTGTAGTAGAAAATAAGATAATTAACAGAACAAACAAGATAGCTCAAACCCCAACGCCAAAACACGACACTTTAGTTGTTCGAAGCACTTTTCGGTAACAGGGACTGTGAACAACAACCGCCAAAGTTTTGCAGTCTTCAAGATAATTAACATTTAATTTGTTAAAAAATAGCATCCGTCGTTTAAGTTGTGATTGCATTTTTGACGACGACTTAATTATTCTGAATTGTATATATGTATTAACACAAAAAGAAAAAGAACGATGAATTGTAATATCAATATGCATAAGGGTCAGAAAAATGAGCGAAAAGCTTATTATTAATCATTTGGGTCACTATAGCCGGACATGATTTCTTGAGAATCAGTCATAATAAACGATATGTCATTTTAAACGGAGTCATTACATCCAAAGTTTCCTATAGAGAATTTAATATGAAAACCAAACGTAACATTGCAATTACTTCATTGTTGTTGCGGTTGGTCAATACAGACAATAATAAACGAATTCCACTGTATGACAGTTTAGCTACTTGTAAAGCTTCTCTAATCTAGTGTAGCCTAACCTGGCCCAACCTAGTCTTGTCTATCTTGATCGTTCAACGTGAACAACTAAAGAAATCTGGATCATTTCTTACTTTTAATTTAATATGTATCTTGCAAATAGACTACTTAACATTGAGAAACTAAAAAGAAACCTATTATAAATACCATATTTTGCTACAGTAATTGTTTAATGCGTGTGATACTGGTGTTGTAGGTACCTAGAAATATCTGCCCCTGACTTTCTATTTTTGCGAAATTTGAAACTGGCAACGATGACGGTAGTTTCTTAACGTGGCGTTTCTTATTTGCATGATCAATTTTCAAAATTAATCAACTGAATCTTTACATAACATAATAAAAAGAAAAGGTTGTATGCACTTGAAAAGTATATAATTTCGTCGGTCTTAATTGCAGTGCAGCAGCTAATAATGGGGACCAAAGAAGCAATAAGTGTAGACGATAAGAATGTAACACAAGGTAGCAGTTGCTAAGGGAGTTATAAAAGCCTCGGTGATGCTCTAAAATAAATTCCTAGTAAAGTTAAATTGACACAAACTTATTGTTAGTCTACCAGGAAAATGTAGATTTTCTTCGTTATTTCCAGGCATGTTTGAACTGCGTTTTGTGATACAAATAATTGTTACGTTGTAATGTATGAATGGCTGCTTACAACAATTGCTTGTTTTGTAACAAAATCATTGAAGGTTTGGGTCAAACAAACACAGTACAATATAATTATCTTCGGCTTAAAAACTAGGTCAGGGACTGAAATAATAATAATTAATTGTGTATTCATCTAAAACAAAAAAAAAACAGTAGTATTTTTGACGAGTGCGGTTTTTGAACGGAAAAATTATATTCATCGGGACTCAATTCATGCTCTATGCAATTTTACAGGATTAGTCAGCCATGAAATTAATGAAATTTTTCATCTGTAAAATATTCGACGAGCTTTACACCATAATAGACATATTCTTCTATTTATTTATTCATTCTTTCATTCATTCATTCGTTCATTCATTCATTCATTCAATTGTTAAATTGATTATTATATAAGTATTTAATAAAAATAAAAAAAGAAGTAGTTTTTGGTAATCAATCTGATAGGTGCCGTCATATTGATATGTAAAAGTTTAATTCTTTACATTTCCGCGTATTACGCCGGAAGTACGGATTAAACTTGTTACCTGAAAGGAAATTGATGTCTGTTTTATTTAGTTTTTAATTAGTCAATCAGTTAAATGTATTTAATTATAAAATTGTGCACCAAATCTGCTACTACTTTTTCGATAATTGTTAGCAACAAAAAGAAATGTACTCACTAATTAACGTCTATTGTTAATTACTTACAGAACATTTTGATTGTGGCTTGTTTTTTTTTTGGAGTGATGAGTTTTACCAGAAAGACATGACAGTGCATTTCAACTTACATGGCGAAATCAACACTTTTAAAGTAATTAAATAAATTAGATTGTTTTTGTTGTGTAGCTGCTCAATCGTTTGTGGTCTTTTTTTTTTTTTCGAAAGCAAAAGTTCCGCGTTGAATATCTGAACCGGATACAGTACAGAAAAGTTGTGACTCAAACGCAATTCCCTATTGTGCTTTGTTCAATTTTTATAAGGTCTAGGTAAATTAATAGCTTCAAAGAAAGTTCGGTTTGATTTAAAATACAATCTGCATGAAGAAAAATCTTCTTAGTTTCAAAACTTCTTTAACACTATCCTGAACCAATCTTCGCATTTCCCAAAAACTTTACATCCTCATCCCTAACTATTGTCAGACACTAATCTCTTTCTTCTGTTTCTGATTCTAATATGTATCTCCCTACTATTTTTTACTGACTTCCAACATCGCCCTTCGGTCTTCTACTCTGTCGAAAAACTCTTCACTTCTAACTAGATTTCTATTAAGTAACACCTTTCTGTAGTTGCTGTTTTTTATTTTTTGTATTTGCTGGGATATTATTCTATTCGCTCTAAGAATAAAATTAAGTTTCCATATACATATCACAGACAAACCCCTCTTACACTCATTTATGTAATTCCCATGCCTTACTTATTAGCATAAAATCTCGATGTGTTTTGTAATGTTTTCGGCTATAGCCCGCTGTGTCAAAATATCTTTCTTAATTCCTTATGACACTTACGAAAATTAATTGCGTGGAACTGCGTTTTATTTACCATATTATTCAATTGATCTCAAGTTTTACCCAACTAATATAGCCTTACATAATATTACGAGCATGTTAGTGTGTAACAACCGTTTTTACTAATTAAAAAATACGGAGGCAGTAAAATATTTACGCACATGAGTTTTCACAGTATAATGATATACTAGTATAACCCGTTCAATAGACAAAGGGTATCTATTGTTAACGCTATTGTGCACTGTTACATCTTATCTGAGACCCTTTAACCAAATATTAACATTTCATCATCATCATCATCATAATAAGGTCGTCAGTCCTAAGACTGGTTGGACACGTACCTCCACTCTTTCCTATCCTGAGCTAAACTTCGCATTTCCCTAAAACTAGAACAGCCCACATCCTTAATTATTTGTGAAGAGTAATCTAATCTAGGTCTACCTCTACCCCTCCTAACTCCTGTTTCTGCCTCTAATATGTCTCTGACTAGACCTTCATGNAGCAACACATTTCTCAACACGGAGAAAATGGAAAAGGAAAATTTACTTGAATATTAAAGCGATATTTACAATCTATCTTGCTATTCCGTTGCTTCTTAAGCGAAAATAATAAAAATTGCAATTTGGACCGGAATTTGTAAAAACAAAATCCCAGCAGAAATAAATTTACTAGGAATTTTAGTTGACATTAAAAATTAAATTGTAATAATTAAGAAACTACAATTAATTAAACAAAAACACATGTCAAAAATGGGATTATTCCAAGTTACCTAATAAATTTAACTATTTCTACTGCAAATTCAGTCAAGTTTTCTGTTTCTTTTTCTTGTTTTAATACTTTAGAAAACATTGACCCACATTTCAGCCAAAGTAGTTGCTTTTCTGGTAATGTACAGCTTTAATAATTAATTAATTGTAAGATAAAGGTTTACTTATTAATCAACGTAGTATAACAGTATGTATTATAATAGTTTAACGTTAGAGTTCGGTAATTATTAAGTTGTTCATTTATACAGAAAATCTAAATAAATAAATGACGGTATAATTTGATTGTTAATAGATTAATTATTCAATTGCTAGTGAAATGAAGATTTTAAAAGAAGATAAATAACAGTTTACGGAAAGGTAGGAAGGAAGGACTTCACGGCCAAGGTCGAAACATACATGTATGTTTGATGATTTCGTAAATAAAAGTTAACATTTTTATAGGTCGGTAATTGCCTGTATCTCGCTTTCAATTAACGTTTTCTTTTGACAGATTTAACAACTTCTAATACAAGATGTGAAAGTAAAAATTCAACTTTCTTTGGGTAAATACTTTTTATTTAAAGAATGACTTTTATTTATTAGTTTTGGATGAAATTGTCTAATATTTATCCTTTCGTTTATTTCTAAATCTCGAATAAGAAAAACAGCAATATTAAAAATTTTTTTGGTTGTTTTGTTTCCAGGAGTCTACCGTAAACTTTTAGTTAAAATAAAATCATTTCACTTGTGTGTTGAATTATTGTCGAGGATCTTCACATATTTTACAAAAGAAAGCATTATCCTTGAAAACGATATGATTCGTACCTGTTGCCACACAGACTAAATGTATCTCAGTTATTATCAGTAATATCATCCTATAACGTTCGGCTACCGCTGCGCTCATCTTTACTTCGGGCGTTATTAATCCTGACAAGAAAAGGACACTGAAAAGTCCTGGATTCGCAGGATAACTGTTTCGTCCTGCGCGACGCGCGCGTTTAAACTTTTCGTTATTTTTCACGTAAACAATCGTCCTGCCATAGCAGCGTCTTTTCACACAATCACAACACTGCGTCTCAGTTGACAGGAAAGACCAGACTAAACACTGCGTGGTGTGCCGCTATTAAGATTTCGAAAGTTTCCCTTTTTCCACTGTGAAAGCCGTTGTGTTTGATGTTCTGTACATTACATACGTACAATGATGTATAATACGTACACTACATACCTTAAAAATTTAACATTTATTCTATATCTATATCATACCATTTAAGGACATTAGTAACGGATGTTGATTTTTTTATTTCTGCATAAAGGAGGTCATTTTCAATAACTGTCATCCATTTCTATGATTATTCATGAAGTTGTCGAGACCTCGAACTTTTCTTTTGTCAGTTTCAATATGTGCAGTTTTTAGATATTTTAAGACCGCTAACGAAATATAGTCGATATACGAGGGTGGATTGATAAGTTTCCGGCCTGACCAAGAAAAACAAGGTTTTTAAAAATTTTTTTTTTTTATTTCTCAACATAATCTCCTCCAAGGCTGATACATTTCTCATAGCGGTGTTCCAGTCTATTAATGCCATCTCTATAGACTGATTCGTCAAGCTCCTCAAAATAACCATTTACAGCTTCGATTACTTCTTCATTGTCCGCAAATCTCTTACCGCCAAGCCATTTTTTGAGATTAGGGAACAGAAAATAGTCACTCGGGGCTAGGTCTGGAGAGTAAGGAGGGTGCGGCATCAATTCAAACTTTAGATCGTTGATTTTAGCCGTCGCAACGATTGACGTGTGCGCTGGTGCGTTATCGTGATGAAACAAGATTTTTTTCTTCGCCAGATGAGGTCGTTTAATTTTCACCTCGTGGCTCAAACGTTGCAATAAGTCTGCGTAGTATTGACCAGTGATAGTATTACCCTTTGCAAGGTAATCAATGTATATAATACCTCTTGCATCCCAAAAAACAGTAGCCATAACCTTGTTCGCCGAAAAAATTGTTTTTGCCTTCTTTGGAGTTGGTTCCCCTGGTCCAATCCACTGTTTAGACTGTTCTTTGGTTTCAGGAGTGTAGTGGTGGACCCACGTTTCGTCAACGGTTACGAATCGACGCAAAAATTCGCTTGGATTACGCTTATACAATGACAAATTTGCGGTAGAAATGTTTTTTCGAATCAATTTTTGGTCGACTGTTAGCAAACGCGGCACCCATCTTGCACAGAGCTTTTCCATATGCAAATGTTGGTGCAAAATATGTTGCACACGTTCATATGACATCTTACAGGTCTCAGCTATCTCACGCACTTTCAATCTGCGGTCTCCCAGCACTATTTGATGAATTTTTTCGATCATATCTGGAGTTGTGACCTCAACGGGGCGTCCTGAGCGAGGCCCATCAGAGGTGCTCACACGACCCTTTTTAAACTCGGAAACCCACTGCTTAACGGTTGAATATGACGGGGAGGATGTCCCCAGTGTTGAGTCCATCTCTTTTTTAATTTCCTTCGGCGTTAACCCCTTCAAATAAAAGTATTTGATGACAGCACGATTTTCCTGCTTTTCCATTTTTACGAAAACCACAGAGGCGTCTTGTTCAGCGTGCTGTCAAACCTACACTAGCAAGGAGATCGGGCTGAAACTATAGCTACAAGCTATCCAAGGATGGTACTATAGAATGTCACCTCAAGGTAGTCCTAGTGGCGTCATCTCTTGGTTAGGCCGGAAACTTATCAATCCACCCTCGTATTTTAGATTATTAAATTGCAGATGGTTATGCAAAGCAGGATACGGTAAATATATACTTATCAATAATATTTTGTGTTTTTAATAACTTCAAATGATATTTTGTAATTTATATATTGCTTTATAATTCGTATAAAATATGTCACAGGAAAATACCTGGAGGATTATTTTTTCTCAAACTGTTTCTAATTCTTCTGTGCTGCATCTTCCTTGGTTATTGGTCGTATTTTTATTGTTATCAATTAGTTTCGTAATTATCTTTTTCAGTTGCATCTTGGATTGTCGTTTCTGTTAATAAATAATAACCGTAATATTGAACAGGAAATATATCTTCGGTTTCACTAGGAAGTTTTGCGAAATCCGATAATTATTTTCTTGATGTTTTCTTTTTAATTTTCACAATTGCTCGACAATTAAAAGTTAATAACTTATTACAAAAAACAAAACCAACACAATACCGATCCCAGGATAATCCTTGATTTAATAAACTTTTAATGATATCTAAATTTATGTTGCTCTCATTTTGTTAATTAGTTTCGAAAAGATATTATTTATAACAAATGAAACGGAAACAAGGTTTCTATTGAAGGTTTCATCTGGTTTGAAGGTAAATTACGTGAAATACTATAAAATAAATTCAATCAGATTTAAATGAAATTGTAATAACAGAAACAAATTGTTATTTATTAATAATAATTTACTATTAAATCTGTAGTCAAGTATTTCAAGATGGAAAAGCACACACAATGATGATAATTGGGTTATTTATTTGTTTTACATAACCACCCTGCATTTAGTCAGTTATGCAGTGTCATACAATTCCCCATAATGTCAAGGACTTTCGAGCAATCGTCATAGTTCCGCGTACTATTTTGATAATAATTCTGTATATAAGGGGCTAATTTAAAGATAGAGAAGGTTAGAAATGAATAGGTATTAGGGAAATGCGAAGATTAGCTAAGGATAGGAAAGGGTGGAGGTGCGTGTCCAATCAGTTTTAGGACTGACGACGTTATGATGATGATATACAACTCCAAATCGGTTAAAATTAAAGTATCTGTAAAAGTAAATAAGAAATACATATTTCAGCAGCAAATGAAATTTCAAAAATAACCTCCTATTTGGATTGTGTTTCGTATTTTGTAAGATACCTTGCAGATACATATAATATTTTCTGTTACACACTTTTTATTACAATGCTTTCAAGTGTTTAAGTAATTAAAAGTGTTGTTATTAAATTCTATGTGTAGTTACCTATTTATAGTATTTAAAAAATGTAGAAAGCGAGCAAGATTTGTAAAAAACAGTGCACCAGTTTTTTTTAATAACCACTTTGCGTGAACATATAACAAGTGCGTAACATATGTACAACGCATGTGTACATATGTACGTCCTTACATATGTAATTTTTTTGTTACCGACTGTACTTACATTGCATGACGATACCATAACATAACATACCGATCGACATATGTGTGGTTTGTATTTACAAAGACTGCCTGCTGTATGAAAGAAAGGACTATTGAATGTTTAACATTAACATTGTTAGCGACGATGGCGTGCCACTAGGCGCTATTGTTGCTTCTCACAATCACACTATTATACCATCGCGTTTATAAGTATTGCGTACCACCGTGGCATGGTGTTTGGTGTCGCTTTCGACTGTCTGGGTTACCTTGCCAAGGTCTTCGTTTGCCAAAAGTGNAAAGCGAATATACAATGGGAGAAATGGCTGATTTTAGGTATCTAGGAAGTCAGATAAGTCAGGACAGAAGGACTAGTAGGGATATAAAGCGAAGGATAGCGTAGGGTCCAGTTGTCTTCAATAAAAAGTCACTTCTATGCTCACGAATTATTAATTTTGAAATTCGAAAAGGATTGTTGAATTTGTGTGTTTGGAGCGCAGCGATGTACGGGTGCGAAACATGGACGGCGGGTGCGGCGGAAAAGAAAAAGTTAGAAGTGTTTGAAATGTGGTGGGATAGGTTGGTAGGATATGAAGGTCTAGTCAGAGACATAGGTGGAAACAGAAGAGGAGTAGAGGTAGACGTAGATTACATTACTGTTAACAAATAGTTAAGGATGTGGGACATTCTAGTTTTAGGGAAATGCGAAGATTAGCTCAGGAAAGGAAAGAGTGGAGGTACGTGTCTAACTAGCCTTAGGACTGACGACCTTATGATGATGATATGAACTAAAGTGGTTGGGTTACAATATTTGGTATAGGTTTAACTGCATTAAAAAGAACACCAAAAAACATTCGGTAAAGAAATACATTTGCACCTTTCCTAATTAAATCTGGTAACACTTATTAAAGTTTTCGATTCTAAAAGTCAGAAAAGGTTTTGGTTTCTAAGTTATTTAACATTAAAACCATCTAAACTTGCAATTTTTTTAATGCCCACAGCAGTGAGGAATTTACTTTAGACCGTTCACAAGAAAATGCTTTTCATTAGTTTGTTTACTAAAACTACGAAAGATTAACTTTTTAAGGACATAAAGAAAACGATTTCCTATAATTTCCTTTAAACTAAGAGAGTTTTTCAGCAGTGATTGAGGGAAACATATCGGGTAAAAGCGAGTGTAAAATAAATTTCTTATTTTTCAAATTTAAATAGTAATCGCTCAGACAATTTTGAAGTCATACAAATTATGAAATACTTACAGTCCGAGCTCGTATCATCATCCGTAATGATTACGTAGTTACTTTTTAATTAAAAATAATGTGCATTTTTCTGATTTTTATCGCGAGTATTTAACGTTTCAAATGGTTTAAAGAGAATGTGGATAACAACTCGTATATAACTGTTACTTAACCCATATTACGGTTTAATTTTTATTTCTTACAATAACGTTATAATGCGGAAAAATGATCACATTTTCATGCCGAAGTGTTACATAGAGGTTTCCGTATTGTTTCTAAGCTGATGTGATGAAAAAGGCAATCTTTTGTATAAATGTTTCCAAGGTTTCAGTATCACGCCTACTATTTAATTTTATTAAGTGTCATTTGCCTTTCAATTTCCCCAAGAAGAGAATTATTTCATTGAATGGTTTTTGTTTCTATATTCATTCTTGTTTTTACGTGTTGTTTGGAAATGCAACCAGTTATACACCCGAACAATGACATTTAGACCCACCACTTATTTCCCATTGTTTACTAGCAATTCGAATACGTGAAAATTACTGTTCTTTTTTTATATTTGGGTAAAACTAAAAAGTTATTGGAATTAGTGAACAAATGTATTTTTATAGTTAATTTCGAAGCCCTTACTTACTACTTTTTGTTAACATATTCTCTAGGATTGCTTGATTCTCTATTCAAACATTGACTCCAAAAAGAAAAATGAATATACGAGGGTGGATTGATAAGTTTCCGGCCTGACCAAGAGATGACGCCACTGGTGACAGTTGTTTTTCATATCTTCAGCACCGCATTATACAATGTGAAAATGTGTTATTATGAAATATTGTCGCCTTTTTCGACACAGTTTTTGCTTGCCCAGGTGCAAGAGTAGTGATATTGCCAATTAGGTGGTGGAAAATCAATAATCTAGTTTTACCTATGCTTGCATGTTGGGGGTACGTGAGGGACCAACACGGCAGTAGAGTGAGAGACAAGCAAGGTGGTAAGATGTTTGATTAAAACGGTATATTTCATTTAGACGTTGAGCATTTTTGCCCAAAAAAGACGGAAGACGTATTTATGGTTATTACACGAAGACGTATGTATTTTGGAAGACGCGATACATTGAATA